ACCGTCCTGTGGCCTAAGGCCCTACGCAATGCCCTAACCCCGACTACCAAGTTATCGCATATCACAACAGGAAGCAAAGCGTGGCGCACAAGTCTGGGAAATAGTTGTTAGGGATAGACGTGAGAGGGATGATGATAAGTTGACAAGATGATGCAAAGTGACATAATCCGGATGATTATAAGATTTTCAATAGGGGGACTATTCTCAACACCTGTCAGTGGTGTCCCCTACGAACCTCCAGCTCTCACTGTAGAGTCTGCAGAGCCGAGATTGAGTAACAAAGTCCTCACTTCGAAGAGGATTCCCAATCGCTTTCGCGGTCTGTATCGTCTTCATCTCTCAACACATTCCCCTATCACCATTATCATGAAGCTAACCACGATCAGATCAGATGGTAGGGTCGGAGCCCTACTCATCACCCACCCTTGATCATGGAGGAAAAGCCATCCGATGAGTTTCCGGAGCGTACCCAGCACCCGATACGGAGATGGTGGATTGGATCAAGTCGACCTCGAATGTTACAAAGAAGGGAGATATAGATGAATATGCGCACCTCATGTGGTCCCGGTGTCTAGGCCTCGCCTGGCTGGGGCTGCAGGTTTTTTGAGACTTTTTCCCGCGCACGCAGTTTCCATTGCTACCATTTTTATTTTTTTTGGGTAGAAGGTTCCGTGGAAAAGGTGGCTGAATTCCACGGGTAAATACTGAGCTGAATGGCTATTCATCAAGGGGAATATATCAATGATCTTTCAAGTAACAAAAGAGGATAGGAGCACTGTACAAGGTGTGGCCTGGGTCAGAGAGGAGCCCAATGTGCTAGATAGTCATAGACTCAAGTAGTACAATAAAACACACACACACACACATAAGATTTTCAATTATGGCACGGGGCGTTAAACATTGAGCTTTCTAGGCGCTAAACCTTCGGTTGCGAGAACACAGGCGAGTCTGTAAACGCCCCCATGTTGGATGGTCCAGTGACACATGACCAGGGCCAGCCTTCCAAGCTGATTCAAGATGTCTTGGTCACCAATTCTATTAGTTACGGAAGATGGTACAGTCAAACCCCTGTTAAGATGACGTAGCCGGGCCATGAAAAATATCGTCATACAGAGGATATCGTTGCTCCACAGAAATTCCCTTTTATGGCGGAATTTTTAGAACCAATCTAGCAAAAAAACCCTGCTTAAGACGATGTTCAGAGGTTGAAGAACGATCATCGTGTCATCGGTAAATGTATGGGAACGAAGTCCGTCCTGGAAAAATTATCGTCTTAACAGGGGTCCGACTGTACAGTCTCTTATGGGTGGCAAAGGTAAAATTCTCAAATTGACTGGGGTTAGATCCCTGTACATATTGCCTTAATTGGTATGGTCTTCATACAGGCCCATGTCTAGTTACTTGACTAGTTATGCAAGCCAGAGGAACTATCCAATGACATTCCGTGAAAGTCTAAATTATGGGGATGGTTTTGAACTCAACGGGAAAAGTACAATGGTCCTCAGTTGAAACTCAAAATTGAAAAAATCAATTGACATTCTCTAAAAATGCACATCTATTTCAAAAATAACTGCTCTGTATTACAAAAGTCTACATCGAAGCCCTCAGTATGACTCGCAACTAAAATGAAAGCGTACTAAATATTTTGTGTATTCTCCATCCTAATACTTTGTGTACCCTCCATTTGCCTTTATCACTGCTACACATCTTTCGTGCATGCTGCCAACTAGTGACAATAGCTCCTCTGAAGGTATAGAGTCCCATGCGGCCTGCAACAATGTTTTCAACGTGGTAGAGCGCACAAGCCTGACCCCATTTATCACAGGACTATTTACCTGAATGTGGTTTTTTAAGATGTTCCATAGTGACTCAATTGGGTTCAGGTCCGGAGATTAAAGTGGCCATCTAATAGGCGTTATTCCAACCTCACGTAGCGCCTTAGTTGTTGAGTGTGCTTTATGACATGGTGCGTTGTTGTGCATGTATAGAATTCCTGGATTTTCCATGTGAAATTGATTCAAAAGTGGCAAAATCCTTTCACAAAAGGATGAAGACCTCATTGATCCCCAATCCTTCTCCCAGACTAGGAATGGGCCTTTTTGTGATCCGTAAAATGATCCACAAAACATCCAATTGTTCCCATGAGCATGGCGAGCCACAATACAAGCCTCACTCAACTCATCATCAGGCTAAACTCTGCTGCTAGTACAAGGAAGATTTTGATAGAATTTAAACGTACTTTTCTTGTGACACGAGGTTTAATATGACAATCACCCGATACCCAGGTTTCATCAGTCCATAATATGCGACTCCATTGTTCGTCGCTCCAATCTACATGTAATTGGGCGAACTCCAATCTTTTCTGCTTGTTCACCGCGCTTAACGGAGGCTTCTTCCGAGCAATGCATCTACTGTAACATTTTTTTTAGTGCATTAGAAATTAAACCCTCACTGCATCCCTAGTGGCTGAAAGGTCCAATTGCTAGTTCCAAATAGCACATCTGTGGATTTGCAATAAATTCCCGGACGAAAGCCTCAAGCTCATCAACTTGTTCCGCTCTTAATTTAGGTGAGCTTCCTTTGCGGGATATAGGATTCTCAGTCTCTCGAGCACACGCATGTTGTACTTGTCTTATTGTGAAGCCAAGTTTGTCGAATATATTTTGAAGTGTCAAGCTAAGTCTTCTTAATGTTCTTGTTTCAATACATTGATCGCGAGTTAGATGCTTGCGAACTTTAGTTTCTGAAGCAGACTTTTCGAGAGACAATTTTTGCTAGAATAGAGGATGACATGATAGTGGTGTGAAATTTCAATGACTGTGTAGTCTAGTCATCCAAAAATGTCGATGAAAATGTGTTTTTCTAAGCGATTATTAGAAGAAGACGATAGGACCATACTTCATGGCGAGCGGGGTAATAAGGAGAGACATACTGACCTATTACGAGCTAGCCCAGATGCGCCTACAGGGCGAATCCCTTCAACGACCCAGTTTGAAGTTTTACCTTTTGGAACCTAGAGGCACTGTAGGGCTATATGTACATGGATCTAATCCCAGTCATTTTGACAATTTTACCTTTGCCATCCATAAGAGACTGAAGATAGCTGCATGTATATTAAATGATAGAAGATCCTTTGTCAGTGCTTACGTAAGTTGATCGTCAGGGCACACTTAATAATATTAATAATCCATTTATGTCCTATTCGAGTTTACAACTATGTAGGACAGACTGTTAAATACAACTTAGTTTCTCCATTCTAATTGGGGTCTCTTTAATTTGATGATGGGATCCTGTTATGATGTGCGATAACAGAGTAGTCGAGATTAGGGCGTCGCTTATGGCCTAAGGCCTATGGGATAATATAGCTAGTGTGCTGGTTAAGCGAGCATGTATATACTCTCCTAAGTGTAACCACAATAAAAGGACACAGGTTTATTCTTGCACTTTCCGTCCATATCCTAACAGCATAACACTGTATAAGTCTATTCACTGTCACCAATAGCCAATAGCATACTAAGACCGCACCACTCCCCCACCATAGCTTCCGTGTTGCTCATAATCATAATAGATCCCCATTACTGGTTCACCAAGGGGTCAGGGCACACTTCGTGTCTGCACGATCCTGATAGGATAACCTCCCCGCAGAAGAATATTGATTATTTTATGATATTGCTTGCGTTCGTCGACTGCGTCCTGTAACCGTTCATAGATACTTGGTTCAAATCCGGCAAAATACAACCAAATTCTTCGCGGTGCTGATATGCACGGATGACGAAGGCATTCTTAGATAACAGAAGTGTTAAACTTTAGTGCAGCAGATCGATTGTTGTGTAGTAACTTCATTACTAAAGGATAGTCTTTAATTATTACAAAATCTAATTTCTCGCGATGCTCGCCTAGTATACTAATCTTTACCCATACGTGATGCTTACGACTTGGTCTGATACAACCTATTTCAACAAGAAGTTTTAAACTCCCTTTGGATACTGGCTGAAGTTGCTCGACTGTTTGTTGAAACGAACTAACTTTACAGTGGTTTCTTTTAATTCATTTTATTGTCCTGTCTGAGTCTATGACTATGTAGGATATGCAAGTCCTCTCTGCCCACAGGCCAAGGATGCCTATCTAGTAGTATATTCACCCCTTTGCCTCCCACGCAGCTCCCCTCAAACAGTACCACCCCTCACAAGTCCTCATTCGATCATACACTTAGAGGAGCCCTTAGCCCTTCATTGTCTCCCCTCTCCAGACAATGAAACGATGGCCATTTGCGGATGTATGGCAGCCGGGAAAAATCGCAAAAACCACTGGGTGCGGGACTCTTCTATTACTGAAATTTGGACTAAGCCCGAAGACATAGTGACCCTTCTGAGGCGTTCGAAGAGACCGGCCAGCTTGGCGCTGCAGACTTGTGAGTACCTCTGGAAATTCACCTCCTGCCTTTCTAGCCTCCTTCCAACCCTTTCCCGAAGGTCGCGCTGAAATTTCAGAAAAGTCTTGACAGAGCGTGACTGCAGTATGCTAGCTTAGCCCAACATCTTCTGTGCCGTCCAGGGCCCCACTTAATGGCCATTCATCATGGGCAATATATCAATAATCTTTCGAATCACAAAGGAGGATAGGAGCACCGTAAAATGTGTAGCCTGGGTTGGAAAGGGACCCAATATGCTAGATAGCCAATGACTCGAGACGCACAATAATCGCATACCATACAACACGATTACCGTTGAGGGATATAAGTATCGCTTGGCGATTAAGCGTTCCAGATACACAGCGACTCAAATGAATGCAGCTAAGCAATAATCATTATGCCATATTGCCTCAATTATTTACAGTATTCTGATATCAGAAATACACCCCGATTGAATTCGACAATATAACTCGGTCTTTACTCGCCTCTGCAAAAGTACGAGCACAATAAAGGATCTATACAAGATTTCTCCATTCTGAAGTCTAAATTCAACAATACTTGACCTTCGGGCCCTATAGAGATAACAAGAATGATTTTCTATGAGAGATGGCTTTTTATTTTCATTACTTTAGCCACACTACCGACTACCACAAGTTCAAGGCAATCTACTATCCCTTCGACACAAACAAAACATGTTCTACCGACTATTCCATTATTATTCCACGGAATAACCTGCAATTATGAACGCAATTATAGTTTCCGCTATCTCAAGATGGTTACTAGGTTGAAGGCTACCAAATTTTCAGAGGGCAAGTTTTTCCCCCACCAATTCGACATTTATGATTATACATTGAGAGGGCCGTATTACATCTATCCACTAATATTTGAAAACATAGTTTATGAAACTGGTCCGTATCCCCGCTATCCTGATTGACTCTAACCGTACGCTGAGCAAAGTTCTGAGATTAGGAATGGTCCACATCGATTATATGGTGCTAAATTCAGATGGCTTAATTATGGGCGGAGTTGTATTGGAGATACAAAAGTACCGCAAGGAACTAGTGTATCACCCATGTCTACCGTGGGATCATAAATACAAGCCGTTGTCAGGTTCTTCGCTTGAAAGTAAACTTGTGGGAGATTTGCTTAGATTTGAATCATAGCCGAATAAGTATATCACATTAGGCCAAACATTCAGACAAACTACGGTAAGAAATGAGGGCAGCGCTCCTCTCAGTGACGTACAATAGAACTTGAAAGTGAAACGTTCTCGGAGGGTCGAGACACAATAAGTGATAAGGATAGGATCAGTTTTAATTGACGTACCGTCTGCTTCAAGGACCAGTACTGGAGAGAGAGAGGTATGTTTATTGTACTACTTGAGTCTTAGGCTAGCTAGCACATTGGGCTCTTCTCTGACCCAGGCCACACCTTCTACAGTGCTCCTTGCCTCTTTTGTTATTCGAAAGATCATTGGTATATTGCCCGTGATGAATAGCCATTCAGCTCAGTGTTTACCCGTAGAACTCAGCCATCTTTTCCATCGGAAACTTATACCTAAGAAAAATGGTAGCAATGGAAACTGCGTGCGCGGGAAAAAGTCTCAAAAAACCTGCAGCCCCAGCCAGGCGAGGCTTCGACACCGGGACCACATGAGGTGCGCATATTCATCTATATCTCCCTTCTTCGTAACATTCGAGGTCGACTTGATCCAATCCACCATCTCCGTATCGAGTGCTGAGTACGCTCCGGCAACTGATCAGATGGCATTTCCTCCATGATCCAGGGTTGGTGACGAGTAGGGCTCCGACCCTTCCATCTGATCTGATCGTGGTTAGCTTCATGATAATGGTGATCGGGGGATGTGTTGAGAGATGAAGACGATACAGACCGCGAAAGCAAATGGGAATCCTCGTCGAAGTGAGGACTTTGTTACTCAATTTCGGCTCTGCAGACTCTACAGTGAGAGCTGGAGGCTCGCAGGGGATACCACTGGCAGGTGTTCAGAATAGTTCCCCATATCAAAGGAATTTAAAAGTGTTCTTCCACAGATTCTTTATAAGTTCAGAAAAGTAAAGAACACATATATCTACATTTACAGGAATAATTTTAGTGCCCTCTAGAGCATTTGACAATTCTTAAGCGTCAGGACAGACAGATTTTTTAATTCATGGTGGGCATAAATATAGCCTTCATAGAGCACGGTGGGGAAAAGGGTAGTCTTGCGATAACGACTTTGTGGAAAGATAATTCAGTCTAACGTTTGGACCACTCGTGTAATGGATGCGTCCGCTGATACTACTCAAGAAACTTGTGTGAGGGACTTAAAACCTTCCAGAATCGTCAATATCCACCAAAGGGAAAACAGGAAAAACCTTTGGCTACCCTAACATGCCATTTTAATCTTTGATATAGCCGCCGCGCCAGATATGGTCTCACAGTCCCTCTGAGTCATAGACTCAGTAGGGGCTTAAATGTAATTCTATTCTATTCTCTAGCCTCACTGTCCACCCTTTCTCGAGAAAGGTAGGTGTCCGGGCTATCCAGACCTTAATTCGGGGAGATGACGACCAGAAGGCGGACCAAAACAGCTCACATCGTTGCCGGTTCTTAGAGTGTCGTAAGCACCGTCCTATGCGTTGCTTCGGTGCCCACAGACACCCCTAAGTCGACAACACTCGAATAATATGAGTTGCAGTCTGCCCATTTGTGAACTCTTCATTCGCTCCTGCTTTGTCTCAGCTCCCTGTCTTACTTCAAGATGTTAAGCCCCATTAAACAACGGTCCCCCCATAGACTTAAAACCAAGTCTTTTATATTTTGACTTACTTTCCTCGCGAGGGTTGCTAGCATCATAACTTTAAAGCAGGGGTTGGCCGATTTTTGAAGAGGAAAATTACCGTTTATAATTAATACGACTTCTTATTCGGCGGTTGAGGCGAGTTGATTTGTGGTATGCCCAGGATGGAAGATTCGCGTGAGGAAGATGTATCAGACATTGCTGAGAAGTCATCGACTCTAGATATACTTAAAATTAGTTTCGACTTCGATTCGGATGCAGTTCTTGGCTATCCCAATTATGCAGAGCATGCTGAGCGATTACACCGGTACCACTGGAAGGTGAAGAAATCGACTTTGCCGGGACCTGAAGGGCTTATCACAAAGCTATCAGGCTTGTACTACTTTGCATACTATTAGAATGAGATTATTGTATACGAGTGGTACGTAAGTACTGGAAGTAAAATTGATAAAGTATTGAGTTAATCTATCGTGTATGATTCTCGCGATCGCAGCATCCTTCAATGCTGCGCCCATACTCCTATTAATATGTGTCTGCCAGCCTCGTCTATACGCTAATACGGAACAACTAATACAGGGTATCTAAGAAAGGAGGGCAAGACTGAACACCTGTACGCGGTGTCCTCTACGAACCTGGGAGTGAAATATTCTCCCAGAGCCAAGTTCAGTCAAATTTCGCAATATCAAAGAAGTTGGCCCACGAGGCAAAAATCCAAATTACCCATCCACTTCGTTATTTCGCTCCCAACGAGTTTGACCCCTATCTTCGTCTCATCGAGTCTACAAGTACGACCAAGTACATCCTCATTCCAATGACCACACCACTCTTCGACCTTCTCTGGCCTCAGCTGGTCACCAAATACACGCCCACGCCGATATTTATACCCGCCGGAGGATGCAAGGCGTGGCGCACAAATCTGGGAGACAGTTCTATGGGATGGATGTGAGAGGGATCTGGACAAGTTGACAAGATGATGCGAAGGACGGATATAACCTCGAAGGGCATGAGATTCCGAACTTTGGCAAGGAGTTTTACGAATTAAGCTTGGTGCGCGCCAAGACTTCGCTTGCGAGAGTGCAGTTGACACTATAAAAACAAGCAAACGATGGAAGGTGTTGTGGTCCGCCTCCTGGTGGTGTTCTCTAGTATGGTTTGAGTAGCCTGGGCACCTACTCCACTTGGGAAGGAGACACCTCAGATCACATATCGCGCGGAGAAAAGTTGAAAGATGATGGAGGCATGTCTGGATAACTCAGGGTTTTTGAGACGTTCCCCTGGGTGGGTATTCACGGATGAGGGTTGACTTGGGGTGAAGAAAAAGCCACCATAACTTCGCAGTGGTACTTGCAAATGAAATCTGAGGCATGAGTGCTCTTCCTTAACGATGAATCATCTATTCTGTACTTTTCTTTGATATTGTGTCATAGCTAGATAGCTGCATATGCAATTAAAATCTGATGCAAAAAAAAAGGGTATCTAAGATCCCCTAACGCCTTACTCTCTATACTCCTAAGTAAGTAATAAATACAACCATAACTCCATTATGTTCAGGCACAGGAATGATTATGTTTGACAACCAATCTTATAATTCAACACATACGACCAACAAATATTTTTAACTCATCAAAATCATCAATCTCTGCAGCAGATTTGAATAAACCATGTAGATTTCCCGAAAAATTCGATATCAGCTGTTTGAACTAGGTTGTAGTCGGCAATTCCTAACCTAATTGTGTTACATTGTAGGCTTCTGTCTTAGGTACAGTAAGACCCCTGGTAAGACGATGTAATCGGGTCAGTGAAAAATATTGTCATGTAGAGGATATCGCTTAAAAGGAGATGATTATGTAATCCAGCTATTTTTTTTACTTTTCGTCCTAAGCTACTGCTCCCAGTCCACTATGGGTACAAGACCGGTGGAGCCGGAAGGGATCCCTGTGTTCTTTATCACAGCCCAACTCATTCCAACCGCGTGAAACCACTACCTAAATTGTAGCCGGTTTAAAACAAAACTAATTCTAACAGTCAAAATTAATAAGCTAAGGAAATTCCAATTTAACGGTCCAGTATCAGCGCTACTCACCCTGACTCCTTTCCTTTCACGGTTTACACCATAAATATTATTCTTCGTCCATTCTGAGAGCTGTGGACAAGGTCGCAGGTTGGCTTTTGAAGCAGCCAGTTTCCTGCGCAAACGTTGAAAATTCTTTGAGGCATTTGGGCCCTAGAAGAATTTTAAGAAATTGTTGGTATGGGGTAGTTCCCCTTAGTCGTTGGGTATGACGAGTGTAAAGTCTGCAATGCATGAAATGCGTTGCTGTAGTCTCCTCTCCGCACGAACACTTCATGTTCGCGTTCGGGTTGTCGAAACATCTGTGGTACGCGGCGAAATTTCCGTGACCGGTACGAGCCGCAATAACTTCAAACAGAAGTCGTCGAGGAAGTGATAGTTCCGGTGGCTTTTTTTGGCGCATCAAGTCTAGTTTGCGGTATCTGGGTGGGCATGATTCATCCCAGAATTGGTCTAGCAGCATCTGTCTCTTCCGATTCATAAGCCGGTAGAGGTATGCACTGCTGATGTTTTGCGGCTCCTCATCTCGGAGGGGGAGACTGCGGAGTTTGCTCCGAGCTGCAGCATCTGCTTCTTCGTTCCCTTGAATGCCCTTGTGTCCTGGAACTCATTTTACGATGATTTTTTCGGGAGCAGCCTGTGTCATTTTCCGAAATATTCGGACTTCTTTAATGCTTGTCGATGTGTCTCCGGACAGCATAGCGGTTCTTGCATGCTGTCTGTCGGTCAGCACGTAGATAGGTTGCGTCACTTTTCCTGGGATCCGAGATTCCAGCCCACTTATTCGCAATGCCGCCTCTAGAGCCTTCCTTACTCCGACTATCTCAGCGTCCAGTACCTCCCCCCCATGTATGGTACCGGAATCTCTATCTATGGTCTTTGCGTCTCTGTTCAAGACAAAAGCCCACGCCGAGCGACCGTGTCATTCTGATGCCCCATCGGAGTAGGCGCAGATCACCGAGCTTGGCAGACTCTCTATCCAGCGTTTACAAATTTCCGTGTCTTTCTCTTTCGCGTTTACCTTACTGAGATAGGCCAAAGCCGGTAAAGGCTCGGCGGATTTAGCTTCTGGGAGTTGTCGATAAGCACGCTGGATTCGAGACATTTGAATCTCTGGTAGTGCTGATTGACGATCATGTTTCTTGTACTTTCTTGTCCCAATATTAGGGCAGACAGTAGCTCGTCTTCTCAGAGGATGTCCAGAGTCAAGGGATTTGAGTAATCCAGCTATCTAGGCTACTTTGTACCTTTGATGCCTCTTTTATACTCCCAATTGACATCTCTAATCGCTCTAATACTCTCAAATAGCTCGAATTAAGAGATTCTTGACTCTCAGTATACTCAATCAATACTTTCAGAGCTATTTCGGCCTATTTTGCTGTCCGCATAGGCTGTTCGTCTTGTACTAGCTCTTCTTCGTCTTGTTTGCTCCCAAATGTTCCCCTATCACCTCTTGTAAGATCATTGCTTCATAAAACATCACATTCTCTTCCTCCTCTATTGGATTAAGAAAAATTTCTATCGCCATTGAATTTCGTATATCTCCTGCTCTGACTACCTCATTAAATAAAGTCAGAAAGTCCAGTCGGAAGTACAGACGTAGGAAGAGCAATTGGCTTGGAAATAAGAGTCGACTTCCGAAAGCAATTATGAATCGTTGTATTTGTAACTTTTTTAATCCAACTTCGTAAGACACAGCGAGTTACTAGTCGAATTTTGACACTTGATTGTGGATCTTTACCCTCTTCAACTGCTTGTAGAACAAAGCGGAGCCGGCATCGTCTGTAGAATGCTTTGCAGTTCTGAACAATACCTTGATCAAGAGGTTGGTACCGGCTTGTACTATTAGCTGGAAGCCAACAGATCTTGATGTTTTACGGAGGAGGGTATAATTCAACGGCAGAATAATGGGCAGAAAAATTATCCATTGTCAAAAGTAAATCTCGGGCATTTCCAATGTGACGATAGAATTTTTGAAGCCATTCGCCCATAATTGCTGTGTTCATCCATGCTTTGGCATTCCAACTCAACTTGCCACCCATTGTCTGAATAATAACATTTTTCAAGGCCCGAGGTGTCTTATATTTGTCAACAATTGTTAAACATCTGATGGTTTGGAACCTACTGAATATGGTAATGAGAATCATTGGATAGTGGGATGACACATCTTGTCAGATTAACTAACTCGAGCTTTGATATATTACCGGGGATATGGTGATCAGGATGTTCAGGATGCTCAGGATAGTCAAAGCTCTGACTTGAGATCTTTTGATCTTCAAGACATGTAATATATTTCATATGTAATTTTGGGAAACGAGGAGAAGGTAATCTCTCCTCAAAATAGTTTCAGATGGATATATAGAATCACTGCTGGAAAGAAGTTAAGGAGCAGAGATTTCATCAATACAACTTTACTTTACATTTTTCATTTGACCCTCAGTGTCTAACAACAATCCAAATGGGAAGTCGGTCAGAACCTGTAGCATTCGTACAAAAACAGAGAGAAACTCGGTCCGTGTATTTCTTGAGCCCGGGTCGAGATTGTGACAATAGCCCACGTGAATGTAGCATTTTCAAAAAGAGACCTGACTCGTCCATATTATATATGTTTTCTTCCTCAAACTCTCCTGCAATTGTCTGTAAAGCTTTCATTTCGGCTTCTGCAGCCGCTAGAATTGAACCAACTTCACCGTGTCGTACCCGATTCTGAACATGGTTTCGATTCTTGAAATTCTCAAGCCAGCAAGCGCTAAATTCAGGGCACGGTTAGCTAGCGTGCTGTGGTAATTGTGTCCAGATATGCTTTGCCTTCTCACTGAGCAAATCGCCAGTTGTGATCCCTCTTCCTCGTTCAACTCGTATTTGCCACTCCAGGAGAATACTCTCAAAGTTAGGCCAGTTTCCAGCTCGCTGTCGTAGCGCATTAGTTCTTGTAGCTTCGTTTAGTTTCGCAAAGGTATTGCTCAAGGACTCAGATACTGTGGACTGGCTTAATCAATGGCCGTACTCAGCGAAAAACTACTCAATCCACTGTTTTTGTGTTGGTTTCGGGACCGGGCGGTGGTCCCATCATCGCAGAGCACGTCGTTGCTCAACAGAAATTCCCTTTTTTGGCGGCATAGTTAGCACTAATCTAACAAAAAAACCTGGTTAAGACGATATTCAGAGGTTGAAGAACGATAATCGAGTAGCCGGTAAATGTATGGGAACGAAAGGGGGACTATTCTCAACACCTGTCAGTGGTGTCCCCTACGAACCTCCTGCTCTCACTGTAGAGTCTGCAGAGCCGAAATTGAGTAACAAAGTCCTCACTTCGACGAGGATTCCCATTTGCTTTCGCGGTCTGTATCGTCTTCATCTCTCAACACATCCCCCGATCACCATTATCATGAAGCTAACCACGATCAGATCAGATGGAAGGGTCGGAGCCCTACTCGTCACCCACCCTTGATCATGGAGGAAAAGCCATCCGATGAGTTTCCGGAGCGTACCCAGCACCCGATACGGAGATGGTGGATTGGATCAAGTCGACCTCGACTGATACAAAGAAGGGAGATATAGATGAATATGCGCACCTCATGTGGTCCCCGTGCCTAGACCTCGCCTGGCTGGGGCTGCAGGTTTTTTGAGACTTTTTCCCGCGCACGCAGTTTCCATTGCTACCATTTTTATTTTTTTGAGTGGAAGGTTCCGTGGAAAAGGTGGCCGAATTCCACGGGTAAGCACTGAACTGAATGGCTATTCATCAAGGGGAATATATCAATGATCTTTCAAGTAACAAAAGAGGCAAGGAGCACTGTACAAGGTGTGGCCTGGGTCAGAGAGGAGCCCAATGTGCTAGATAGTCATAGACTCAAGTAGTACAATAAAACACACACACACATATGGGAACGAAATCCGTTTCGCAAAACAAATCGCATATACGGCAATATCGGCTTAACAGGGGTCTTACTGTATTCGGAAACTACAGCTACAACCCAGAACTATGAGATAAATCAGGCTATGCACGCTAAATTTAGAGTGGCTGGCGGATATGGTGAATAAGGGGATAAATAGGGTTGGATGGTGCAGTGGTACACCATCCCGGCCGTTCTCCCAAGTAGATACTGGGTAGCTTGAACACCCACCCCATTCGAGACAGGAGAAAGCTGTTTCCAATCGAGTCAGACCCACACACCACTCTCTCTCGCGGTGATATTGTGCTTGTGGGATGATGAAAGCACACTCGGTTAGCCACAGGGTTTTCACGCTTTTCCCTGTGGTGGGTATGCACAGAAGAGGTTATACGCTGTAAGGGTTAACCTCGAGTGGTATCTGCAAATGAAATCTGAGTGTGAGTGTTCTAAACGTCAAACTGAGTCATCCTACTTAAAGTACATATCTTCCGATAAAAACCTGCATGGGCCTCAAGGCGCCAAATCAGGTAAAATGAAATATATATATGGGGATAAATATGTAGACCTATAATGACATAGTACCCTCCGCCCTCAGCTGGATGCGAGGGCCGGAGTGATTATTTTGTCAGGACAAGAGAAGTGACTGAGAGGGGCATAGGATGAGAAATACTAGCACCGCTCCTACATGTTAATCTGCTTTGTTTCAGTTGGTTTTGGCTGCTATTTCTTTTGGGTTTTGGTTGTTTGTAATCAGAGTCACATGGTGACAGTTTGGTGGGAACGAGTAGGGCATAGCTATTTAGGATAATCCTGACCGGGCCCACCAGTCCCGTGTCATAAGGCGCTGGGCTGGTGCTTGTGAACTAAAAAATCAATCAATCAATCAATCAATTATAGTAGCCTCTAAGTTGCAGGACAAGTCTTCAACCAAATTATATCGGAATCAATCCTAGCCTCTTATTAAGCAATCTCATGAATCTATTTCCGTGTCTGTGATAACAGACCAATATACAAAGTCGACGATCAAATATAAAAGTCGATTATCAGCCAATGTCGGATTACGAAGCTGAGTCTGGAGGTTCTGACAGCTCGTCGGCAATTCGTCTGAACCGTTTTCAGGGGAAGCCCCAAAAGTGGCAGTATTTAACAGAGCAAGAACGTGGTGTGTATGCTAGTTTGGTTAAGGCAAGGGACGAGGATTTGGGCATACATCTGTACAATGCGCATATATTGCGTCAGCGTGCTAAAGAATATCAAGAAAACCCAGTGGTTAGGCCCCGTAACCCTAAAGTACCTGAAATGGACTGATCAAATGCAAAGAATGCTAGGATCAATTCAGAATACACATTTCTTCCCGAACATTATCGCACTTACAAGCCTCCTGATAGATGGACAGCTTGGCCACTACCTCCCGACCTAGTTCCTAAGGGTATCGACAACGATTTGAATAAAGATGGATATGACCAATTCACATTCAAAAGAGAAAAAGTGAATCATCCAAGCACAGAACTCGAGGAAATATTAGTAGCTGTCGCTTTAAAGGATGCAAGGAAGAAGTTTGAGGACCGTGAATTCGAGGATGATTTGATCCAAAGTCAAGAGAGTGATAGTACCGAAACCACTGATAATGATAGCTATCAACCGAATGGTGGTAATACCACATCGTTAGAGATAGAAACAGACCATACAGATACCTCGGAAACCAAAAATTTAGAGAGCCCATCAGTGCCCAATCTAACTCCAATTTTCAATCTCGACGATGACAAATCTTTCCAACAGCTTAGGCCTTTGGCACGCCATAATATTATTAAGATTGATGAGGTATTAATGGCTCTCCACAACACCCGAAAAACATGTCACGGCTTTAAGAGTCCTGAGCAAAGAATCGAGAAAGTTTCTACTTCTAACCAGACTCTCGCCAATGTAGTATCAGAAGTAGCTAGTAAGCCTACTAGTGAGATAAATCTAACACGTATCATTGAAACAGATGAGCACCAAACTACTGATCCAAGCAAGAAAACGCGTGGAAGACCGCCCAAGACTTATGAACGCCTCGATGAGGAGACAGATGAGGCATTTCTCGTTCGGATTGCAAGACTCAGAAAAAAATCTATCCCAAATTTTGCGCTATCTGAAGAGGCACGAAGACCTAAAAAAACTTCCACCCCCAAGACGAAGCTAGAACCTAGGAGTCCTAAATTTTCTGGTGCAGGATATCGTAATAAAAGAAATAAGAGATTGGGACTACGGGACTGGAGTGAACTTCTTGGATCAGCGGCTCTAGCTGGAATTCCCCGAGATGTCATCGCAAGAGCAACTCAACGATGTGCAAATCTCTTTGATGAGGGTATGGAAATGAGAAGCATGAATGAAACGCCTATGACAGGCAAGGATTCAGATCTCGTAACGCGCTATACACCTTGTCAATTTCATAAAGAGCCATCCCTGGATCCCGAATCAACTCCCTGTAATAGTCACTCAAGTGCCCCTTTTTCGAAAGCTAGGAAAACGAGAGCCTTAATACCAGAGTATTATAAGCCTAGAAGTGGCCCTACTCTACGTCAGGTCTACTTTTGTTCAGTCTCACTTTGCCCAAGGAGAATAAATGGCTTTAAGGATCAGGATAGTCTAGTTAGACATCTACGTAAAGGTCACGGTTTTGATGAAAATTTTATAAAAGAAAACCTATCAAGTGATGAAGATCTAGTCGGAGCTGTACATGTCGATGGATTTTTAAAAAGATTAAAGACTAGAGGAGAGGTGAAAAATAAGAATAGATTGACTAGCCATAGGAATGATACGCGTGCAACATCTCATGAAAAAATAGTGCCTGTTACGATGGAGTCAGCTAGCAGCGAATGGGTATCTTCAGACGCAGAAGATCAGGAAAAAGCATCTTGGAAACTTTAGAAGGAATATTGCAGATAACCAACTCCTGAAGTTTAGTCAACTAAAAGCTATACAAATAGTATCTAGTCCGATTTTATCTCATTAATATTGGAAGGACCTAATATTCTGTTAGAGGATATCCGTCTATGCTCTCACCTAGAATAAATTCTAATGTGGTTGACTTCCTCAAAACTTCTGACAAGTTAGAAGGGATGTAGCAAGCATAGACTTATATTTAAATTATGTTCCCATCCGACTTGAAAATCAATACTTCACTTGGAACTGACAACGTGATTCTTTAAATGACGAATATGTCATGGTATTAGGATTGTAAAAATAAATACATTCTAAATTATATTCAATAATAAGTGTGAAATATTTCCGTCAAGATATTTTCGCACTCGATTACAAATCAGCATGGGGAACGAAAGTTCAAGACTCAACAGCGGCGTTCCATGCTGTAACAGAAATCTCGAGTTGGTGAAGATTTAGTCGATTATAAAACTGATTAAAGAAAAAAGGGAAACTTGGCTTTAACTAACGGGCATTTATAACAATCAGCCTCTTGATTATTGTATTAACCGATGTCTTCATCTTAGGCCGAATACTTGCCCCTCAGTCACACATCAAGAGTCACTAAGCTGTGACATTGATCTGGCTCCTTGGCTTGGAGTGCTATATCTTCCAGTTTTGCTCATTATTTCCTTACAGTCTCGTAATATAAATCCTTAACAGTGCGCTTAGGTATCCACCTATACTCAAACAATAGTCGAACCGTAACACGTACGAACCTCAAGCTCTCACTTTAGAATATGTAGAGCCGAGATTGAGTAACAACTTCGCCCCCGATTCCATGAGAATTCTCATTAGCTCTCGCGATCTATATCGTTTTTGTCTCTTAGAACAGCCTCCTATCACCACCATCAAAAAGCTTACCACGATCAGGTTAGAAAACAAGCTTGAAGCCCAAATCATCACCCGCACTTGGTCATTAAGGACAAATTATCCGATGAGTTTCTGGAGCGTACCCAGCATCCGATACGGCGATGGTGGATTGGACCAGTTTAATCTCATTAAAAAAGGGAGATACAGACGGATATACGCATCTTGTATGGTTACGATCACAGGATATCTGAGTAATTTTCCCGCGCATACAGTTTCCATTGTGTTAGAGTATGGAGAGAACTTCGGAGTAAGAACTGCCTGAGAATAGAGAAGAAGTTCAGTTTGCTTAATTGACTAATAGATTAATAGACCAGAGGTATTATGATATATATAGTGGAATTAAAATGAAGAAAGGTTTTCCGGAACCGACTCGACTGCGGAAATAAGTGAGATACTAGACCAGAAAAGAATTATCCACTGACTCAGAATACTGGGTCATGCAATAGAAAATGCGAAAAAACCAGTTACTGAATTTGTTCGGGAAGAATGAGATTCAAACAGACTCAAACGTTGAGTCTGATTGGATCAGAAGAATGGGCTCCCGCCTGAACTCAGAAATATTGTTCAGGCAAGATGCATGCAACCACGTTGGTCGATAGGAAGAAATGCAGGAAGCTGTATTTCCAACACATTGCTACCATTTTTAGGGCAGAAGGTCCCGTGGAAAGAGTGGCTGAACTCGAGGGGTAATTACTGAGCTAAATGGCTTTCTATCATGGGCATTACATCAAATATATTATTTAGTACCAAAAGAGAATTATAGCACTGTATTAGGTTCAGTCTGGGCCAGAGAGAAGCTCAATGTGCCAGATAGTCTATGTCGCAAGCGGCAAAATAATACCAAATCATACTCTATCTGTAAACATCGAGGATTTTTCATACTGGAGGACGAATATAAACGTCTTTCCGCGATATCCTCTACGAATATTGCAGTTAAATATTCTCTCAGAGCTAAGTTTTAACAAAGTTTGGCAGTTTTCAAGAAGTTGGCCCGCAAAATAAATATTACAGGCCCTCAACCAAATCACTATTTGTGTCATAGGCTGCGCCTTACATCCGTATACTTGTGTCTATCTATGAACGAATCGCCGATAGCAATTTATGGGATTATAATTGATCGCCGATCCGATGGATATTAACCTCCCTAGGATCAGAGTTATATGTATATATACCCATCAGCCTAGATAAATACCGTTTCTATTAAATTTGGAGGCCTTCTATTGCTGTATGACTGTAGGAAAGACAAGGGAATTGGCACGGTGGAAGGAGGTCAGATAGAATGAGAAGCGATAGTGATGTATTCACAAGAGTGAGATAGACTTAAGATTTTAAGTACAAACTTTCTCCACGCGACTGATCTGCATGAGTAGCGATATTGATGCGACTCCTAAGATTGATCTTGACTGGCTCGGCTAGCTCTTACACCAACCAGACACAACTTGTTATTTAACAATTTCCTAGATAAGAAGAAAACAGACTAGATAATGGCCAGCATACTCAGTTCTTGTTGTTTTGGTGGTAGCCCATCACAATTTGACGTCCATCAAGATGGTTTCCGACTAAAGCTTGATCAAGGCTAGAAGTACTACCTAGTGGATAGTCACCTCAATGGCAACACCTCTAATGGATTCAGTCTGTGGTCCTATCTAGTCACTAAATAGACACCAAGATTAATGTGAATACCTGCAGGGGTAAACAAATCTGGCGAGGTAGATTCTGGGGTGAGCGTGAAAGAAATAATGATAGATGAAAAGAATTTTGTTAAGAATTTATATAATCCCATGAGGTGTCGAATTTCGAATTTGGGAAAGAAATTTTTCTAATTGAGCATTGTGCGCTCTACGACTTAATCCGCGAGAGTGTGGGCAAGATTACAATATGAACTTAGCTAGATATTGCAGCTGTAAATCATCAAATCTAGTCTTTGAAATAGAGTCTGGATAGCTTGGACGCCTGTCCTACTTCAGATGAGAGTTTGCATCAAGCGATACGCTATAACATTCGTTATGGTGATTGTATGCAGTAGGACAAAGAAGTGCTTGGATGACCAGAGTGTTAAGGGAAGGTATGCCAGCTTCTCGCGAACATATGTCGAAAATGATATTTTGATTTGAATTCATTTCATTTAGCCCGTTCAGGTACCCTATGGGCCCATGCAGGTATATCTAGCTATCATATTTACACAGGAGGAAACCAAATTCGGTAAAAACCCCCCCACAACTATCTATCTCGTGTCTATTTGTTTTCAGAGGTTTCCTACAGGAAGTGTGTTTACACTGTACGTCCAGTGTGAATAATGTCCTATCCTTTTCCCGATCGCTCAATCCTTTCGCTGACTGCTGTCTCAACTTCTTCTCCAAGCCGGAACTGTTCAAGCCAGTCGTTTGTAAGTATCCACTCTGTAATTCTCTTCATTTCTTCCGGGCTCTTCATCATAGCTTCGAAAGACCTTTCTTTTGCCCGTTGAAGCACCTCTCCTCTTCCCTTAGCCCATTGAGGACAAGCCATGACCATAAGTTTCACGTTTTGTGACGGATATCCACACTAGCACTTTGGATTTGTCACTCCAGGGACTCTTCTTCTATAAAGATAATAGTTGAGGCCGATATGCTCACTTCTCATCTGTATTGCATTACTACTTTGGGCCCTGCTCAGGTTTTGGTGGATGTTAGAGGGTGTTTTTCTGTAGGTAATTCTTTTTCTGCCTGTTCTCTTATCGGTGTTTATACTTGCTACTTTCCAATGTTCTGGGTCTGCCGATGCCTGGTGAGAAGGTAGTCGCTCTTCCTTTAAAGTTTCCCATGCGCTTTCCCACTCCTAGAGTGCTGCTATCTTACCCGCTTCTTTTTGTCTACGCCTCTCATTTTCGTTCCTGCAGATGACAATGATATTTATTTTCTATCTAAGGGTATTAACCTACTTGGGATGTACAAGAGTATAAATACTACGCGTCGCGTCGCATCCTGGACATTACATAAGCAATTACATGATCCTAACTAAATTAGGAATGACGCCTGTTGGGAGCCGAATAAACTCCGGTTCCAGGTAAATCAGGCAACGGTCTGTAAAACAGAGTTACTGACTTCCACTGGTAGGCACTCTCGGAAGATGATCAAATTTGCAAAATAAAGGATCTTATTTTATAATGATATCTGCGAGCTAAATCCAAGTTATGGGTATCCCTAAAGTCAAAAGATTGGCACAACAAGTAGAAATAGCACTGATTATGCATCATAGCTATGTAATTGCATACACTCAAATAAAACAGAAAAACACCAATGTCCCCGGCGATCGCTTTCTGATGCTCGATTTACATACTTATCTATCTCATGGCGCAATGTTTACTACTTAGCCTGAACATACTCATTTCAACCTTAAAATCTATTCTGAAACAACGTAAGCCGATATAAAAGCAAACAAAAAGGGTCAGAAGTTCGATAAATCTCTTTTTCTCTTGTGTTCATTCTTAATGTCCTATCGTATTTTTTTTACATCGTGAGCGATCGTTAGGCATTCAAAATACGTCCCAACGTCATGGTGGATACCTCAAGAGACCTCACGGGATCCCACCTTGGAACACCGGGCTTTGTATAATCTGCAAAATGTGTGGAGGTGAGCGAGGCCAGGATTAAAGAGAGGGAGAAGAACCTCTCCGCCAACGCGATAGACACCCGCAACTGGAAATATCGTACATTGAAATGGATGCAATATTTCTTTAACCAAACAATAAGTTGACTGTAGGAGTATTGTGTTCATATTTCAGTTAAAGAAGTGGGAGTTGTGCGCTGTAAGTACAAGTGTAAGAGACACAGTGCCTAAGCCATAGCATAATCGATTGTGGCGCTATCTTGGAATAGAAAACCCCTTAATAATCTCCCTTTGTCCACGCCGTTAAGCCACTCGTGTACCCATCAGGTACTCTAAGACGCTACCATATTGCTCGTTTGCTCCTATTAACCACACACAAGATAGTGTCGGGAAGCTGTTGTGCTCAGCTATGAAGTATTATAGTAGCTGGTGCATAGGTAGTTATTATGGCAGCATGGCATCAAGGCTCATGAAGGAGATCCAGTCTCTACATAACGGCTTTACAAGTAATACTGTGTGTAGTGTGAGAGATGAGTTGTTGATATATGATAGATGGCATGGTTGCTCAGTTTGGTGCGCTGCACACTGGCTATGTGATTGGTCTGCAAGCGAGCTTCCCCCCATCTGTAATCAAGTAGTCACTATACAGTCAGACCCCTGTTAAGACGATAATTTTTCCAGAACGGACTTCGTTCCCATACATTTACCGATTACACGATGATCGTTCTTCAACCTCTGAATATCGTCTTAACCAGGGTATTTTTGCTAGATTGGTGCTAAAAATGCCGCCAAAAAAGGGAATTTCTGTGGAGCAACGATATCCTCTGTATGACGATATTTTTCACGGCCCCGGTTACGTCATCTTAACAGGGGTATGACTGTAGTTACCTTCTACATATCAAAGAAGATATCTCTCTTGCGAAAAAAATAGAAAAAAAATAGATCTCTCCATGAACTATCTCAGCTGTTCAAGCGCATATATATATTCCCGTACCATATACCAATCACAATACCCTTGGACTCGATTAAATACTTTTCATTGGATTGGGCGAAAATTGGGAATCACCTTCGTGACTTATCGAATGAGCCGAGGTAAATTTCACATGATCGTGGGTCTAGCCGATAGCTCTATTGAAGCCCCATTTTCAGCCTATCCTGATCTCTAGAATCGCTTGCAGCTAAGCGTCAAGTGGCAAAAATTGGCTAGAAATATTGAGGAAAAGAATTGAAGGTTTTGCCTCCACCTAAAAAAGGAAGGGCCAATGGAGATAAATTCAATTTTCCAATAGCTATACTAATGATCCAATTCATATCAATATTGAAAAAAAGTATGTTTTATGACTCGCCACTGGCATTGAATTCGAGGAAAGCGTGATGATGGTGGAATTGAGTTGCCTCCACTTGTTGATAGGCGTCTATGACCGCTATATAATTGTCGATTGTTCCCTGTGTTAGCTGTTTATCATCATTATCATCATCAACATCATCGTCACTAACATCACTATCATTATCATCATTCCAGCCACTCCGCTTCTTTATCTCTCAAACATCCATACCAATTCCTAGTCATACCGCCGCAGTCTTCAAGATGAGATTCTTTATCTTCAGCCTTAATCTTACCATCGTAGCAGTAATAATATTTGCTGCGACTGCCGATTCTCGGTCATTCCACCAATCCAGGCTGTCAATCATTGGCAGAAGAGATACAGTACCAGAGCACACTGGCTATCAATGTGCCTCAACAAAGTACGAGATGTATGAAATCTTGGACGCCATAAGAATTGCTTGTCCAAATCCAAAGCCGAGCAATAACTTTTGGTACTCCTATCTGGACTGCGACTTTCCGAAGATATTTCCTGAAGCGCAGAAGCTTGGGTTTCCCAGGAATACCCTGATGGCACCAATACGAGGGTCATTTTTCGGTAAGGTTTACTTTTGCTTATTCAATCCTTGATATGATTTTCATGTTGTTTTGCCATTTGGTGGTGAAATTTGGAGAAGCTAGACACCGTTGAAGTCATTTTGACTTTTGGGATCACCATTTCTCATTGCCGATACTGATAAATCTCACAGAATCTTTGAAATTCCATTATGTCCTATTTGAGCCGTCGACTTGCAAGCTTCGGGGTCTCGTTCGGCAAAAAGACAAGAAGAAGGACGGTGTTTTCCAGCTTTGTCGCTATAAGAAGTGGGGTCCAACTTGGCAGGATGTGTAAGTTGAGATCTTAGTGCAATCATCGTATCGAGAACTGACTTTTCGAAGACTCGAGCCAAATTAAAGTGGTAGTCGTGGAATTTTGGGGGTATTGGAGTTTGTGATAGAATCAAGCTGGCAGTGATGAAATTCGATGTATAGACCTAATTAAAGAAGAAAGGAAACTACTGCTATCAAAAAGGTTACTTATAATGCTTTCTAACTCGTCCCATCTTTAACGTTTAGATAGTCCTTTAACCGAGGTCATTTCATTCTCATTTATACATTACCTCATTCCAACTCGCACGTCATCTAAGATGTCTGCTTATACGTCATTCTCATGATTTAGAAATGATGTAACAATTGAAATTAGTTCCGGAGATTGGAAGAATTACACACAAGCCTCGAGTTTGATTAAGAGATACGATAAATTTGTTTACTATACGAAGAAGTTTACTGATATTTAATGGATAGTTAATTGTGATTAAATTGCTGTAATTCTTTATGTGTGGCGAGAAGTCCCTCTACATACATGAGAGCGGGATTTTCCGCGCACTAGTGTGAACTCCAACATACTTCCTAATCTAACCTAAACGGGAAGGTTGTTGGAGATCCTGAAGCCAATGTATGCTGTCAGGCATCTATTGGCTAATTACTATTCATGCCAGTGAGTGATGATATGGGTTAATCATATCTCATGGCGCCAGTGCATATTATTCTAATATGTACTATTTGTCTACTGCAGTCATGTTGCTGCCTTAATTACAACAGTAACCACCTTCGATCTTGCTTAGGTGCCTACCCAAGCCACAACACGGTCAACCCGTAACAGAGTTTTACTGGTGCTGATTTCGGGAATATGGAACTAACGGTTGCCTTGTGATGATTTTTGAATTTTTAGTCACTTGGCAGTAAATATTTAATCCGTGCCTTCAAAATAATGCTAATGCTTGAGTAAAAGCCTGTGATGGGTACATCTAACTATAAGAGCAGTAGGGTTCTAGTACATGAATCTACGGTTTCCCCTATTGATTTCTACCTGGAATAAATGTGGGTCCAACACGTCGGACTTTCAGAAGGACTATCTACCCAGAGAACGATACAATCTGCATGTAGTATAGTCAATAAGACCACAAGGGAAACCGAAAATAGGCACGCCAAGAATCGAAAACTAAAAATTGTAGAATAGACTAGAATTTGTGGCAAGGATAATGCGAAAGGTGGACAACATGATGCCGATAAGATGGCAGCGTTCCAAGAGTGGAATAACTGTTGGAAATTGTCAAGGATTTCTAGGAGGAAATATCTCGAAGAACAAGTGTACGATTTCGGACAAGTTTTTATTGATAGTTATACAGGATATTGAACTCTCTTCTCAATATGAATTAAAAATATTTAATACTCCGTTAAATTTTTTTTTACATATACAGATGAGCCTATCCATAAATACAGATCCCCGAGGCTTTAGTGATCCCGAACTCCCAGTGATCTAGCAACAACCAGCCACTAAATTATCGCAAGATAGCATTTCCTAGCCACTGAAATTTACTTCGCCTGAATAAGCTTAATCATATTCAGTCGAATCAACTCAATTAATCTTGATGATCATACTTAGAAATCTAAACCTTCATACATGCTAAGTCTAGATTTCCAACAATAACTGATGGACACGTGTTGTGATGAGCATGTTATACACCTAGGATACTTGCATGTTCATAACATGATTAGATGTTTACGCTGTTTGCGTAGTTCCTGTATCGTTTGGGATGTATATAGTTCATTTTACCTGATTTGGCGCCTTGAGGCCCATGCAGGTTTTTATCGGAAGATATGTACTTTAAGTAGGATGACTCAGTTTGACGTTTAGAACACTCACACTCAGATTTCATTTGCAGATACCACTCGAGGTTAACCCTTACGGCGTATAACCTCTTCTGTGCATACCCACCACAGGGAAAAGCGTGAAAACCCTGTGGCTAACCGAGTGTGCTTTCATCATCCCACAAGCACAATATCACCGCGAGAGAGAGTGGTGTGTGGGTCTGACTCGATTGGAAACAGCTTTCTCCTGTCTCGAATGGGGTGGGTGTTCAAGCTACCCAGTATCTACTTGGGAGAACGGCCGGGATGGTGTACCACTGCACCATCCAGCCCTATCGTTTGGGATATCTGCAGGAGGAAGCTCATGTGGTCAAGAGCCGACTAGCGGCCTCACATGAGTATAAGTAGCGAATGCTCGGCACACGATTAGTGTAGGACAGTCAAGTACAGTGAACCTCAGATACACCTTCAACCGCAACCTGAACTCATCGGTCTACATACTCGTACAAGGTCAGCATGCATAGTATTTATTTATTTTTTATGTCTACCGGTTAGGGCCTCGCCTCAACCTGGCCCTAGGTACAATAGCGTGAGTACATGTGGTACGTGCACGTTAGCATATAGTCCATGTCCGCCTCTAGATACTCTCTCCTCATAGCCAATCTACTTCTTTCATCTCTATATTAGAGCTGCTTTCCTGCCAATTTCTCTTCTCGTGATTCTACCGGGCACTAGTTACAACTAAAGCCCCATCCCTGAGGGGACATGGTGACTACTATGTAATACAAAACGTGATATGCAGTGGTAGAGGCCATGAAAATACATTTAGAAACTGCGAGCGCTTTGCAGCGGGTACTTCACAAGAATAGCTCATATGTTACGGAGTGGGCAGATTTCTGACAGGAACCTAACCTTCTCCAAAGTGGTGGCGAAACGCTTAGCTTCTAGGGAGGTGCTTAGAAGAAAATAGAGTGAGCCCATACTTCGTCGATGGCCGGCCGAAGCCAGTCTCTCTCGCACAATGGGGTAAGAAACTAAATGAGTGATTGGCTTGTTATCCCCGCAGGAACAATTCAGAAGGGTATCAAGATGATGAAACCTTTCGTGATAGGCACGAAAGTCACCATGTCCAGTGCGGCATTGGATTAAATACCCGAGATATCAGCGAGGGAGTCGAAGTTCCTCAGGAGGCTTCTTGGGAAATAGCATCCTTCACTCACAATAGGTAGAGGGAGCATGAGATTGCCACCAAGCTGTGGTCAAGTCCCATATTTTCCTTTTAATCTTTGCGCGGACTCTAGCAAGGGATGCGGCAGGGGGGGCTGGTTGGCGAGCAGCCTCTCCGGCCAGCTTGTCGGCCAGCTCATTGCCTGGAATACCTATGTGACCGGGAGACCACATAACTTGGACTTTGCCAGGAGATACAATAGGCAGAATTCTCCTCGTAGGCCAGCGAGACGCGAGATCCCGAAATTCTAGAATTTCCATTTGCGAGGACTTAGATGGCGAATAATTGAGGAGGCGTTGTGCTGCCTCTTGATTGTCTAGGATAACGTGGATGTTGGTTGCGAGATGAGTTGAAGGGGCAGCTACAGCGGCCTTAAGCCCTGCCAGGGCGCCAATAATGTCGGAGTCATAGACCTCGAAAACGGGGCCGAGGGGCACCCTCACTTGAGCTACAGTGATGTCTTTATGGAGAACGATGGCACCTGCCCCAGTAGACCCATTGCTTTGCTTTGAGCCGTCAGAGAAGACAAGGATATCTCATGGTGGAAGTGCGCTGATACGCTCAGAAAATTCTAGGACGGAAAAGTCTGCTCGAGTACGATTAAGCGGAGCTTTAAAGGAGGGAAGTAAGAGCCGAGGGCGGGGAAGGGCGAAATGAGCTTCAATTTTTCGGTGAGGCGAAATTGTACGCGAGGGTCTTTTAATCTTCTGACCGAAGGATGAAGGACGTCCGCGGCAGCTAGCCTAACAGCGGAGCGGAGGCGTATCTCCTCAAGTAGAATATGAGCTGGCTTAAACCACGCCTCTCTCAGAAGTGCAGCAGTGGGAGTAATTCTGTATATTGGTAGGATTGCTCTGGCCAGGTTGACTAGAGCTCGAGAGATCATGTCTACTAGGTGTTGAGATCGGGTTGAAGTTGAACGTCCTCGGCGGAAATAAGTGTGACCGCACCACCAGACCTCAGCACCATACAAGAGGACCGATAGCGCCGCAGCTAGGGCTGCAGTGCGCAGAAAAGTTGTTGGGACACCACGGTTGGTATTTCCAAGCTGTCGTACATGGGTACTAATCCGTTGCGGTTTAGCACTCCATTCTTGAACTTGTTCTTTGCAAGAGAGCTTGGTGTCGAGAAAGACACCTAGCCATCTCAGAGTAGAATTTGTATTTTTGGGACGCCATTGATGATGACCGGAGGAGAAGGTTGACGAGATCTGTAAAGATGAAGGATTTCGGTCATGTTTTTTGCCAGAGAGAGTCATTTCTGCTCGCACCAACGGGTGATGCTTCCGACCCTGTTGGTGGTCAGATGAGAAGAATCGGCAAGATTTTTTGCGACCGAGAGGATAGCTACGTCTTCTACATATCCAAATGTAGGAAACTCGAGTTTAAATAATGGCTCAAGAAAGAGGATAAATAATATAGGAGAAGCAGGGGATCCTTGGGGCAAGCCATGCGGAATATCCAAGAAGTCACCTACAAAATCACCCACTCTGAGACGAGCCTTCCTGCAAGAAGCAAAGGAAGCAGCCCAATTCACGTATGGTTAAGGCCATCCCTGCTCGCGAAGACGAGCGCGGAGATGGCCAGGCTGAATGCTATCGAAAGCACTTTGGATATCGAGGGTGGCGAGAGTGCACACCTGCTTTGTCTCCCACGCTTTTTCGACATCGTGAACCGAACATTCTACGAGATCCATGGCAGATCTTCCGGGTAGCGCTCCGAAATGCGAGGGAGAGATAATGTGATTTGATAAGGCCCAGAAGGCAAAGCGTCTCGCAAGGAGGCGTTCCGGCCCTTTCCCGAGAACTGGGAGAAGCAAAATCGATCGCCAATTGGCAGGATTGGTGAGATCGTCCTTGTGCGGTTTAGGAATGACCACCACTTCGGCGCGGCGGAAGATGCTGGGATGGTGACTATATACCAGGCAGAGGCGGTAAAGGTTAACAATCCACGAGCGCCATGTATCTACTTCCC